TGTGTGGGCTGGTTTGGTATGGTCAGTACTTTGCTCATTGTGAACAGCCAAAAAGACATGATGTCTGATGCGCTTTGCCAGTCTTTGGGATGTGTGGCCTACTGGCACCAGATTGGCAGTGAAATTCATATACCACGTTAATGATTAAGTGACTGGCAGAACATACTTTCCTCTTGATGGCAGCATCTTCTGAGTGGGGAGAACCACTTGCGTTTCTACCGCATCGTACCACTAGTTTCACCTGTTGTAGGGTTATAGAGTCATACAGCACGGAAATGGACCCTCTGGTCCTATCAGTCCATGCCGAGCATAATCCCAAACTAAACTAGTCGCACTTGCCTGCTGCTGTCCCATATCCTTCCAAACCTTTCCTATTTAAGTACCTATCCAAATGTCTTTTAAACATTGTAATTGTACCCACAGACACCACTTCCTCAAGAAGCTCATTCCACTTGTGAACAGCCCTTCGTTTAAAAAAATTGCCTCATTTTTTTTTGTAAATTTCTCTCCTCTCACCTTAAAAATGAGCCCTCCAGTCTTGAAATCCTTCATCCTAAGGAAAAGATGACTGCCATTAACTCTATCTACACCTCTCATTATTTTATAAGCTTCTATTAGGTCGTCTCTCAACCTCCTAGCGAGAAAAATCCCAGCCTATCCAGCCTTTCTTTATCACTCAAACCTTCCATACCCAGCAACATCCAGGTGAATCTCTTCTGAACCCTCTCCAGCTTGATAATATCCTTCTTATAACTGGGCGACCAGCACTGGACACAATATTTCAGAAGAGGCCTCACCAATGTCCTGTACAACTTCAACATCACATCCCGACTCCTATACTCAAAGGACTGAGCAATGAAGGCAAGTGTGCCAAATGCTTTTTTAACCACCCTGTCTATATGTGATGCAAACTTCAAACTTAATGTACCTGCACCCCAGGTCCCTCAGTTCTACAATGCTATCCAAGGCCCTATCATTAATTGTGAAAGCTCTACTCTTGTTTGTTGCGATACCTCACGTTTATCCAGATTGAACTCCATCTGCCGTTTCTCAGCCCATTGACCCATTTGATCAAGAACCCTTTGTCATCTTAGAAAACCTTCTTCACTCTAGACTAAGCCACCGATTTCGGTGTCATCCATAAACTTACTAACCGTGCCTTCTATATTCTCATCCAAATCATTTATATAAATGACAAAAATAAGAGGACCCAGTACCGATCCCTGCGGAACATCGTCGGTCACAGACCTCCAGTCTGAAAAGCAACCCTCCACCATTACTGTCTATCTCCTGCTGTTAAACCAATTATGTATACAATTGGCAAGCTCACCCTGAATCCCATGTGACCTAACTAGTCTACATGCAGAACCTTGTTGAAGGCTTTACTAAAATCCAAATAAATAGCATCTACAGCTCTGGCGTCATCAACCTTTCTAGTAACTTCCTCAAAAAACCCAATCAAGTTTGTGAGACACGATTTTCCTCATACAAAACCATGCTGACTATCCCTAATCAATTTTTGCCTCTCTAAATGTCCATAAATCCTACCTTTTATAATCGCTTCCAACAATTTACCCACAACCTTATTCAAACTGTAGAGATACCTTACCTTTCCAGAGTAATATCAGGTAGCTGGGCACTTCTCAGAACCAAGAGTGAGTAAGTTAGAGCCCTTCATGAGTTGGCACAATGTACAGCAAGAAATGATTTGATCACAGTTCTCAACATTCTGTTGGATGGCTTTGATGGCAACAGCATCTATTCGGACATAAATCGTACATATATGGGCGGCCATAAGCCTAGCAGTCTTGGACCAGCAAAACATCCTGCTGTCACCTGAATAAGATCCTAATTTATATTTTTGAGCAAGGCCCCTGCTTCTTATGAGTGGGAATGTTAGCTGCCTATTTCAAAGTCAGCTAGAAAATTGAGTTGCTGTAGGAATTTTTTCTTCGTCTGTTTATTACTTCATTCTCCAAGTAAACAGGGTAGTACATACAAAAAAATCAGACCCTACTACAGTTGAGATGGTTCCAGTATTATAGTTAATCAAACATTCACACGTATTAGTCATTACATTGAGTGGCCATTTCCATTTCCTTTGGGAAGTGGAATCTTCATACACCCTAATTGGTATGTCGGTCCACAGATGTGGAAGCAAAGGAACAGTTGCTTTGACTTAAAAACGTAGCTGAGAAAGGATTTAAAAAGTAATTCTTCATGCAAGCTAATGGTAAAGAAGCTTCATAAATTTCTCTTGAGGGAAATAAAGTGTTAAGTGCTCAATGCAAAATTACTCACACCTCTGATTTGAAATCCCATGGGCTCAATTCCCACAACAGAGACTTGAGCTCATAATCTCAATTGATACTTCACTGCTAGATCGAAGGAGGACCACACAGATTATGATGCTGTCATTTGGATCAAACTTTAAACAAAGGCTAGGCTATACTCACTCTCTTAGGTGAACAGATCCTAAGACTGTTTCATAAAAAGAGCAAGGGTGTTTTGCATTTTATCCTTGGCAATATTTATCCCACAATCAATATCACTGAAAAAAATTATGTGACCATTATCTCTTTGTTGTTTGTGGAACCTTGTGTATAAATTATCTGCCATGTTCCTACATTACAGCACACTTCTGAAATACTTAATTTGCCATGAAGAGCTTTGGGATTGAGTTTATGAAAGGTTCTTCTTGTTTTAATTGTAGCCATTCAAAAATGTTTGAGAAAATGCGAAAAGTTGTAAAAAAATTGATATGAATCAGAGATTAGAATTAGCCCCTGCCTGATGAAGAGCCCCAAGACATAGCATCATTAAGGAATGGTCAAGTCTCAAAAAAAGAAGCAGCATTTTCTCATGACAGCCCAAATTTGATTTGGGTAACAATACAGTAGGAATCTCTAAAACAAAACCATATGTAAGTAGGCTGTCACATATAGTTGTTGGCAGGCAATTGGTTAAACCCAAGTGCTATTGTTCTTACTAGCAGCTCTTCATAAAAGAGGATGAAAGTGCAAGACAACATTTTGGTTGCTGAGAATTAAATCACAGACCTGTCTCAATATGCAGTTTCTGCCATAGATATAGACGTGATTGAGACTTGCAATGTTACTTGTGATTGTCTATTTTAAAAGCCAGTTAATGTGTCCCAAGAGGGAGTTGTGTTGGACGGAACACAAAAATGATTACATTATGAGGATTGCATAAATATAACAAAGACTATTTGTGAAAATTAAACACCTACACTCAATAATTTATCTTACAATTTTGAGAATATTTTTAAACAAATGTTTTCATTCTGGACACAGTTGAAGTTGTGACTCCAATAATCGTTCACTCCAGTTGTGGTATTTTATGGCAACATGACTGGATTGAAAGATAAATATTTGTTTTATAGTTGCCTGCTGTTAGATGAAAAGGTTCTCTAGCATTGTTCACCATATCAGGTTTTGATATTATGTGGAAAAATGATTATTAAAATAATTAGCTTATCACCAGAATGACTGATGGTAGTCATTACGCTGAAAAGAGTCATTCACTTCAGACAGGGCAACTTATTTTTGTAATTTATCTGTAACCTATTCTACCATTATCAACCAGAGAAAAGCGAGAAAAGCATTTCATATTTCAGCAAGAAAATATTTCATTTTGATGGATGACTAGGACTGCAGTTGTCTATTTCCCACCCAATCTGGCACAATTTCTAATTTCTCAATTTCTAGTGGACGGATTAACATCACTTTTGAAGATTTTCCGAGGTTGTGACCAAAAGTGGGTGCCAACTTTACTGATGATTCCTGGCCATTGACGTATACGATCTTATTTGGGACACTAGTTAGAGGGCAAGTTCTGGGAGCGGCGTGCAGTCAAGACAGTGGGGTGAATAGGCACCTAGCTGGCCCATGAACTTATAGCCTAGAATATTGATGATAGATCCTACCTGCTACAAATGACGACACTCCCGTCACGCATCTCCCCATGATCTCTATTAATCATTGTCCCTCACTGAGGTTCAGATAGAAACACTGCTTCCTAAACACTGTAGATAGCTACGGTATTTTGCTGAGAAGCCCCTCCCTCTCTTTCTCATTCCCCTCTAGCAGAATTGCCTGCTTTTTGTGGCCTTTGGTTTTTTTTTATTAATTCACAGGATGAGGGTCAGCTTTTATTGCCTATCCCTAATTGCCGGAGGGCGGTTAAGAGTCAACCACATTGCTGTAGTCTGAAGTCATATGTAGGCCAGACCAGGAAAGAATGGCTGATTTTCTCTCCTAAAAGACATTAGTGAACCAGATGGGTTTTCCCAACAATTGATCCAATGGGATACCTGCTGGTGCATATATGTGTAGGGGAATCTGACTGGTGCTGGAGCCTTGAAATCAGAGTAGAAACACTTTCAACATCTGCCACATCACTCCCTTGTGGACTTTTGCGACTTAAAACATGGGAAGCACCAAACACTTTGGAATCAAAGCAGCCAACAGAATATCAACCACCTTGTAAAGTAAAATTATTTAATGATTCCTTTCAATAGAACTATTGTGGGGATCATTTCTGCTGCTGAGTTAGTTTTCAGCATTTTGGGGCTAAGAGAGGGTGAGAGCTGGAGCACTGACCTTTAAAATGGTCATGCTGACATCAAAGCAGCATTGTGTGTTCTTTAATGTCATGATCTGCCTGCTCCAGGTACATGCAATGTGTGTCCAACACGTGAGGACTAACACCATCAGCAATATTGATTCTAATACAACTTGCCTGAAAACAGTGCATCTACAGGGACCATTATGTGGCTCTGTGGAACTTGTAGCACACAAAGAATTGAATGCTGATGGGCCCAATTTCTCCCCTAAAACCTCAGATCTGTTTTTAGGAAAATCATAAAAGTCAATGTCAGCCCACTTCAAAATGCTGTAACTCTGCAGATAATCTCTGTGTCTTTGTATTTTGTATGGTAGCATCGCCGATGTTCAAAGTATAATTTTTGTTTTCTGCAGGACGCACTGGACATTTTGGCAGAAAATTTTGAGTTTAATGAAAATGAAAGCACCTATGTTGCATTTGCAAGAGCAACTTCCTTATTAAAGTCCCTTCCATACACAATAAGTAAAATGGCAGCCCTGGATGGACTACCCTGTTTCGGAGACCAGACAAGAGCCATAATTGAGGTACAAGACTGTGAGGAGGATATTACAAATCGGTGACTGTAATTTTTGTCAGAGTAACTATTATATATTATGCATTTCTTAAAATCAAGCACATAAAATGGAGATGATTGGCCTTATAACCTTACAATGTCCTTGTTAATATGCATTTTCCCTCCAAAATTAGATACGACAAGCTCAGCATGAAAAGCATGCCAAAATTTCCTCAATGATGAACTTGCACCGAGATTTGATGGAAAAATATGTGTAAATGTGATTTTAGCTGAAGTTACAATGGCTGAATATAGTGACAGAATTAGACCATTTAAGCTCCACCTTTAGCTTATAGCTGACCTCCACCTAACTCCATCTATATGCCTTGCTTTTGTACCCTTGATAGATTAAAAAAAATACTAGCAGTTTAGAAGTTTGCAATTTATCCAGGCTCAATAGTTTATTTAGTGGGAAAAAAAATCTAGATTTCCACTACTATTTGTGTGATGAAGTGCTTGCTAACATCACTCACATGGTGTAGCTCCAGTTTTAAGGCTCTGCACCCCCCCCAACACCCCCCTCTTCTGGTTTGCTTTTAGCATTTCATTACAACTTGCCTCTGAAGTTAAGCTTCTTTCAATCTTAGTAAGGGATATACAAACTCCCTCCTGTAGAGACAATTCATCAATTAAGTAGCGAGTCTAAACAAATTTCTCTAGTCAGCGGAACTGACTCATCTTTGTAGAATTTCAGCTTGTATAAATGTAGTCTTACTATGTGTGCAAAGTAAGCGAGCACAAAGTGATCAGCCTGTCACTGAGTGAAGCTTGACACAGAGTCATGTGCTTAGGAATTTGGTTCAGTGAGGGAAGAACTGCTGTTTGTTTAAGTAGCAAATTTAACTCTGAGTTTAAAAGAGGGTGGAGAGCAGGCACCAGTTTAAAACAGATATACCTGTAAGGAAGTTAAAAGATACTATGAAATTGAAAGAAAATGTGCACAAGTTTAGACCGAATATAAAAGACAGAAAATGATGACTGTAAGAATACTATGGAAGGAGAAATTACAGTACAAAAGAAAGCTAGCTAGAAATATAAAAGCAGGCAGGAAGGCTTTCTGCAGTTATTTAAAAAGAAAACAAGAGTAAGGAAAGTGAGCAATAGTTCTCTGGAGATTAAGTCTAAGGAATTAATCTTGGAATGTTGGGAAATGGCAGATGAACTACACAAATATTTTCTGTTAGTCTTCATTGTACAGGATATAAATAACATCCCAGAAATAATTGTGAAGCAAAAGTTGAAAGGCAGAGATGTACTTAAAACAATTATAAGCACAGAGAAAGGGTCCTTAGAAAATTATTACAACTAAAAGCTAAGAAGTCGCAGATCCTGGTGATGATGATTAGTAGGCAACCATTTTGATGTATGATTTGGTCATAATTATATGACGCTGTGAAAGGTGAGGAATAGGAAGTTAAGAGTGGGGATAACTTGCCCTAGCAGTTGAATCATTCTGCCCCACCTCTCTCTGCTCTGCATCCAAGACACTTGTTCTGGCAAAATTTTCAAATAAGACAAGATGTTAAAACGCGAACATGAATTTAAACATTTATATTTATCAACATAATGTTGAATGTGGCCTTGATGTCAAGGGCTGTCATTCTTACCTTACCTCAAACTATTTTATGGAATAGATTCCAGACCAGACAGGCCTGTGCCTTTAAGACACGTAAGTGACATTATGAAAAGTGATGTTCCAAAAGTCAGTTTCTCTATATAATGTAGTGAATGGAGTGTGTGTGTAAAATATGCAGTAACATTAGAAAGCACAGTACCCAGATTGCATGTGTATATCTGTATCATAGCAGTACAAGTAGTTAGCATTGTTAATAAACTTTAAGACAGCTGTCTTATCAAAACCCCAATCTCTGTGAGATATGTTATATAGGCTAAGGTATGGAAAACTACAAAGTGTATGAAAATGTATTTCATCTTTTCATGTAGGAAATACTGGAAGATGGGGTTAGCTCGAAGGTCGAGAATTTGCTATGTGATGAGAAGTACAAAGCAAGAAAGGTAAGCAGATGTAAGAGGTGACAGTACACTCAAGCCCAAATCATTTAGAGTCAGTGCAGATATATTGGGAAAAAATTTTAAACTTTGACAAATTAGGGCTCTCTAGCCTATTGTTGATTTCAAGGAAAAGTAATATCAGTCAAAGTGTCTACTGGACGGGTTGCAAAATGTTGTGTAAAGGTCAGTGTGTTCAACAGTCAGGGTGACTGAGTGTGTAATTGACACATCTGTGATGGCTGGTGTGTGTAATGGGTTGGGGGTGTAATTGTCAGAATGTGTAACAGTCATATGTAGTAGGCAGAGTCTGTAGTGAGTGTGTAAGAGGTCAGAACATGTTAAACTTAGAATGCATAGATGTCAGGCTGTGTTATTGTCAGGGTGTGAATACAGAAGACAAATAGGAAATGGAATAGGAAAAGTGTTAAATGGACAAATTTTGTAATAGTCAGACTGGTGGAATCTTATAAGGGTCTGAGCATTGTAGTCTATGTCAAGGTGTGTGGCAGAATAGGATGAGAATTCCAACGAGGACCATCTCAATGTTAGGAGCATCTCGCTCCATCTTTTATGTTTTTCATAAGAGGCAAGACAATCTCTTGCTTGGCAGTGGTGAGTTGCTAATTTCTGGGGAGTAATACTGCCTTGCATTGACATTGTGTGCTTGGCCCCCTCAGTCAGAGATATCAGGCTGACATTACTGCTGTCTTAACATGTTGTTTCACGCAGAACCAAAGCCTGGCACATGAAACTTGTCATAATTGTCAGTAGGCTTCAGTCAAGCCAAGGGGCATAGCCTTCTCTCAGGGAGTCCTGGCACAGTATGTCAAGGGAAGCCTGCAATAACAGTCCAGGCCCTACTTGGTGAGAGTCAGAGTTCTCTCCTCATAAGGGGTGAGATGAATGATGGGTAGCATACCGCTTCATGGAATGAGAGAAGCAGGTATTTCAAAGATGAAAGTAGAGGGCACAGTTTTTTCTGTTTGTGCAGGTGTGGAGGTGTCCCGAGTGAGTGAGCAGGCAGCGCAGAGCGCACACAGGGTTAGTGGTGTCTGCTGTTTCGTGTGGTTCAGGTGAGTGTGGAGATGTTGCAGGCAATAGAGAGAGAGGTAGGGCATGAGCCTTGGTGAGAGGTGGGTACAGTAGCAGAGATAGAGTGAGTGTGAGGTATCGGAGAGAAGATGGTGGTACTTACACTGACAGAGTAGAGAAGGACATCGATCTTCTTTCTACAGTTCTGGGCAAATCACCTTAAACTGTGTGGAAACCTCAACTCAGGCTGCCATAGAGTGGTGTCATATTTTCCACTGCTTGGTATGGGTGGGGAAGGAAATCAAGTATCTGCATTACCCTGTCCAACAGGACCTCCATGACCCTGCCCACAAAGCAGCTTACTGATTCCTCCTTGGCTGCCTTGTCCAGGGCAAATGTGCAGGGTTGCTCTGGACTACCAGTGCTCATCGGGTTTCATTATGGCCTTTTGAAGATGGTGTGGGCCAAAGGAATGATGGGATATCTGCCAAGTGACCAGTTTTTCTGGGAATGGCGTAGGTAAGATGGGGCAGAAATTGGATGTAGGAGATATCATAGGGGTGAGGTAGGTAATTAATGAGGTGAGTTTGGTAAGATACAATGAGGCCTATAATGGGAATCTGTCCAAAAAGCTTGACACAATTTAGACTTACTCAAAAAGAAGTAAGCTTCAGCTTAGAGTGTAACATTCAGAGTGTTTATTGGTCAGAACATTCAATTGTCCACAGTATATATTGAACAGGATATGTAATAGGTAAAATCGTAATGGTCAGAATGCGTACTGGTTAGAGCACATAAAGGGTAAGGGGTGTAACAGTCAGGTCGTGTAATGGTCATCATGTATAATGGTCAAAGTGTTTGATGAATGGGATCTGTAGTGAATGGGGTATGTAATGGGTAAGGTGTGTAATGACCATGTATTATGGTTACAGGAAGACATGGATGATGGTAAGATTGTTGGGGGGGTGTTGATATTCTGGGCAATATCGATATGTAGAAGGAGGCAGTGAAAAACATTAAAGTAGATAAGTCCCCAGGGCCTGATGGGATCTATCCCAGGATAATGAAGGAGATTCCTGGAGCCTTGACAGAGATCTTTGTAGGGGAAATAGGTCCTTCGGCCCAACAAGTCCACACTGACCCTCAGAGCATCCCATCCAGACCGATCCCCCTATAACCCACCTAATCTACACATACCTGAACAGTAAGGGCAATTTAGCATGGCCAATCCACCTAGCCTGCACATCTTTGGACTGTGGGAGGAAACCGGAGCACTCGCAGGGAACCTACAGAGACACAAGGAGAATGTGCAAACTCCACACGGACAGTCTTCCAAGGGTGGAATTGAACCCAGGTTCCTGGCTCTGTGAGGCAGCAGTGCTAACCACTGAGCCACAGTTTAATGTACAATAAATGGCATGACCGATAGAGCATTGATAGGCAGAGGGATCTTGGGTGCAAGTCCAGAGCTCCCTGAAAGTAGCAACACAAATAGATAAGGTGGCGAAGAAGGCATACGACGTGCTTGCCCTCATCGGTCAGGGCATTGAGTATAAAAGTTGGCACAGTCACATTGCAGCTGTATAAAACTTCAGTTCAACCACATTTGGAGTACTGTGTGCATTCTGATCACCACACTGTTGGAGGATGTGGAGGCTTTGCAAAACCAGGATGTTGCCTGGGTTGGAAAGTATTAGCTATAAGGAGAGGTAGGACAAACCTAGATTGTTTACAGTAGAGCGTTGGAGGCTGAGGGGTGAACTGATAGAACTATATAAAATTATGAGAGGCATGGATAGGGTGGATACTTGGTGCCTTTTTCCCAGGGTGGAAATGTCAAATGCTAGGGGGCATAGGTTTACAGTAAGGTGGAGAAGGCTTTTTTACACAGAAGGTTGTAAGTGCCTGGAACATGCTGCCAGGGGAGGAAGTAGAAGCAGATAAAATAGTAATGCTTAAGAGGCATTTAGATAAATACGTGAACAAGCAGGGAGTAGAGGGGTACAGACTATCTACAAGCAGATGGGACTAATTTAGAATGGCATTATGGTCGGCACAGACATGGTGGGCCAAAGGGCTGTGCTGTACTGTTCTATGTTCTATGTACAGTATGTAATGGGGGAAGAGGGTAACAGGAGAGTATGTAATTAATAATGTACATAAAAGGCAGAGGGCTATATGGGTAGCCAAATTCCTGCTACTTGTTTCCCGAGTCTGTTAGACTTGACAATTATCAGCTCTATTTCTAACTTTACAAACTCTGCCTTAGATTCTTACAGACCTGGGTAAAGTAGTCTCTAAATCTAATAATGACAGGAATGGTTTTTGTGGTGGGTGGGAGAAGCAGATTTAGTTGGGAAACATTAGAATCTGGGTTTCCCCAATTGCTGTGGAATTTTGACTCCAAAATGGGCAATTTTTTCCAATGATTTTCTTAGCTAGGTGGTAGCCTGACTTACAAGCTTGGTAGCTTCTTCTGTCAGTAATAGTCTTGAGGAGGTTTCAGGTGCATGCAAAAGATAATTAACCTGTTGCTTCTTTGGTGGGAGTGTTCTTTGGTGCCCTGTTATTGGGAGGTGATGGGAAGACCAAAGTGATTTGATTCTCCATTCCAGAGGGGAGGATATGGCCAGATCCCAGAAGTGAGGAAGTTTTGAATGGGGGTTGGACAAGGTGTTATCTCAATGATGGGATTGAGGGTTCAGTGGTTGGAAAGTGGATGACTTGGTGGACTAGGAAGATGCATCCTTGCTCTTTCTGGCCCACAACTTTACCCCACCCCCTGCGTTGTAAAGAACCAAGATTTGGGAACCTCAAAAACTTATTGAGATTGAATACATAAGACAAGTTAAATGTGAAGCATCTAAACTCATTAGACTATTCAAGCTCATTAGACTAATCTGCTTCCTGTAGTGGGCCTGCCACCTGTTCAAGAGTGGAAAGTTTGGGATCCAGTTTGAAGTTTTAAAAATTTCTTTACTGCACTTGGGTCTAGTCCATTTCTTTTTGGTGTTTAACATTAGCCATTTATGTCGTTATTAAGACCAATACAGCATAAAGGTGGATACATGCAAGCAAATTAGGGTGACTTTAACAATTAATATTTCTTATCACTGTGGTTAATTTATATGTAAGTCAAAACTTTGGAATTTAGTTTAGAAAATAGCATGAACAGGATTATAAGAGGTTTTATTTCAAGTGAGTAAAATCTTGTCAGAAAAGTGTTGCAATTTTGTTCAAAGCATTTTTCATCCTACAATGTTTGCTGTATTTGCTAAAAATCAATGTCAATATGAAAGCAATGAATATGTGGTGAAATGATAATGCATGGCAGAGTATGTATAGCCCGTTAACATAGCTCATTTTACTGTAGCTATTCACGAGTGTCTTTGGTGTGGGATTGAAGACTGCAGATAAATGGTATGGACAAGGATTTCGGACATTAGAGGCAGTAAAAGCATCCAAGGATTTAAAATTTACCAAAATGCAGAAAGCAGGTAATGTCTGGAATTGTATGCTGTTCAATTATTTGCCACAGTCATAACTTCATGGTAAAAAGTCTGCATAATTGTACTTCTGATTACCTTCTACTTCTCTATTGCTTCCATGCTGTACATGTGTGAAACTAAGAAGCAAAGATAAAATTGTGTCCAAAACTGTATGGGGATGCACTCATATCATGATCTTCGTGGGCATTACTCACAGGTTGTGCTAGGCTTCCATGATCCTGCCCAAAATTACCATCGCCTGACTTCAATTTCCCTCCCCAAACTGGCAGGACCACTGCTGAACAATCCCCTGTCCCTGCCAGTAGATGTACAGGTTGGCAGAGCCTCAGTTTAAGACTTTTTCCTCTGCCAATGACCATGGTTACTGTAGTTTTCCATGAATTGCATGTGAAGATGGCTGTGGGCTGGGGTGCTGGCTGGCACCATGATTCTTCTGAAGATTAAAGTGGTTCCACTGCAGGCTTCTGGTCATTCTGCTTCTGCCCCAAACCTTTAACTGTGTAAGTCTTAGTATCAGCAGAAGCCTTCAAATAAATTTTCCATTTTGTCCCCTGGGCCCCTTATTGCTTCTTCTGTAGTGGAGGCACTGCAGTGCTGTCATGATTCTCCTCCATTGAACTGGTGGACTTTCATGTGGTGTTTCAAGTCCTGTTTCTAAAATGACCTCAACCTGGGCAATTGACTCGTAGGGTGAGGTGGTGTAGGAGATGTAAACAGAAGACCCACTTCACCATAACATTGGGGAATCTACTCCTTGTCTCTGAATTAACATGGTGGTTACACTTTCTCATTGTGTAATTTGTTTTTGAACCTGTAATATTTTGACGTATCTTCCAGCACAGCAGTACACTAAATTATACCGGTATTACTAATTGTGTTAAAAATAGAGTAATTGAACAGTTAAGTCACCAAGGTGGTTAATTTGTTTGATTGCTATCCAAGACAATCCTATCAGGTTTCATCAATGAGCAAAAAAGGTTTATTCATTACGAATGATCTTATTCTTTGACAAGTGGCAAAATGGTTACCAATCATTGCTATACAAACTTAAAAGTATATCCCATTTAAAAGCAAACAGCCATACATTGAGCACAGGTAGGAAGAGACATGATATACAACTCTGCAGAAGTGATATGGATGGAAAAAGAAACGCAGACAAAAGGAAAAGTCCTGTAAATCAAGATTCCAAATCACGAGGGTGGAATGAGGTGATGTTCTTACAGTAATTGTTAGCTTTCCATTGTCGGCAGCAGGGCAATTGCAGACTTGCAGTCCAATTACCTGTCAGGTAAACCCCAAGTCTTTTACTGAGTTACCATTCGTCCTTCAGAGTCTTTTTGAGTGTTGTCCTTTACTCAGAGGGCTTTTCTCCCCCTGCAACAGGGCAGAAATGTATCTTTGGTGTGGTTCCTTTGGAGGATTTTCTTTAACAACCAGGAGGTTTTTTTTCAGGCTAAAGAGAGCTGTCTTTTGCTGCAGGCTTCTTTGAGGTCTGTTTTCAACTGCCTCACTTTCCCAGGTCTGTAGGAAACAGGAAGCAAAACCCCAAAGCTGTTGCCAGGCAACTTTCAGCCCAAGGCTCTCTCCACAGGCTGAACCAGCAAAAGTGTCAAATTCACCTTATCTCTCATCACACTGCTTCAAGCAGCATTACAACTAATAAAGCCACTACTGCCTTTTGTTGCGTAAGAAGAACTGGAGAAAAATAGAGTAGACCCTAAGTCCCGGTCACTCACCAGAGAAGGTGAAGCTGACTGGGGCTGAGCTAAGGAGTTGCCAATAAATTCACAAGGATCTCGTATTTGCCTATGGAGGTATATGCTCTAATGTTGTTGCAAATTCACAGGGCAACACTCTTGTTTGCACTGTGAGTTTATTGAAATAGTTGTTAGATGACTGCTTGTATTGAGAGCCTCTTGGCAGAGGTCACATGACTAGGAACCACATTGATGTGATTTCAATCCATAAAAACCCTTTCCATCAAAAGAAATCAAATTTGCATGCATCATCATTCACACTGTGAATTAACCAGGTGTTTCACTGTGCAAACTGTTCACACTGTATTGGCAAGACTGTTTGTTATTCTGGTCAACCCCTTTTTTATCAGTCAAAAGGCAACTTTTTTTTTACCAACTTCTGCTATTTGGAATGATGTCCTGTCTGGTTTTGTTTTGAAATCTTCTGAGCTGAATCTGCTGATTTTCACTGTTGTCTTTGATTCCTTTCTTTTTGTTATGTTTGGTTGTGTCCAGCAAGGCAATCCTTTTGATTTTCTTCACTACAGCATCAAGTTTCTTTGTGGTCTCGCAGTTGGACACTTTCTCTATTGCAGTTTATTTTACTGTTCATCAGTTAAAGTGACCTAGTCATAATAAATCTCTATTGGCATATTTGGGGTTGCTCGTCCAATTTTTTGACTTGCTTCTGCTGAGATGATTGACTTTAGCTTTGTCTGGAATTCCAGATCATCCATCTTGTCATTGCATTGGGCTTGTAGACTAATTTGTCCTCTTGTGGTAAGCATCATTCCTTCACAGAGCTTTAGCTTTACCTTCCAGAGTTTCATTCTAGATTGACATCTGGTATAATTTTACGCGTCTACGTAGCTCATAATGCTGTGGGAAGCAACTTTGTCTCTCTGGTAATTCATTTCTTTTGTTGCTTTTGTTCTGCTGTCCTCCATTGCAATAGTTATAAGCTATTTTTCTGCTTCAAATTTGAAGTTGCTGTTTTAAGGTGTATATTAAATTGTCCAACATTGTTATCTGACAACTCTGTAGCACCAATGTTTGATTTGTCAGACTCTCTGGAGTAATTATCTCGACAGGCTTTGTAGCCTTGTTTATATCTTTGTTTATATCCTTTGCAGTTCTGTGCAAAGTGGTTTAGCTTCTTGCAGTTAAAATGCTGTTTTCTCCATGGTGGACATCTTTTTTGAATGACCCCCACAATAGCTACAAGTTATCTGCTAACCTTGATCTGTTATGCTGACTTTCCACAGACACTTGTTGTTGCTTTTCATATTTTTGCACTTGAAAGATCTAGACTGCTTTTCAAGATTGTGAACAGATCTGAGCTGCTTATCAAAGTATTACACAGATTTGGGCTGCTTTTGCACATTATGGACAAACTCATCTGTTATAGAGTCGTACAACATGGAAACAGACCCTTCTCTCAACTATGTGCATTTGCTGTTGATCACAAGCTCATTGTCATTGCAGGATCATTAGGAGAGGATCATTTATGTCTAAGATAATTCTATCTTTAATTCAATCACCTTTTAGGTGCCTGAATTCACAGGATTCTCCAACCTTGTTCCATGCAGTCACCCATCTATCAATCTGCCCTTCTTCACTCTGCACTGTAAATTTGAACACACAACATTTATGTGCTATGTTCAATTTAGTTTCAAAACTTGCCTTCAAGGCTTTTGAAATTTCTGCCCGGAGCTCTTGTGGTTCTTTCTTCAGCCCTTGCTGCACGGTTTTGCAAAGTCTGGCTGTTCTGATCTCCAGTCTGTCTGACAGCATAGATGATCAACTATTTCAGGCTAACGAAATAACACCTCAGTCAAAAAACTCTCCCACCATAATGAGTGTTGGCAAAATTCTAATACAGTGTAAGCACATGTTGCACTTGGGGAAATAATATGCAGCAAAGTGTAACCTTGTAATCAGAGTTTACTGGCTGCCATTTGGATTGCTTCAACTGCATCTAATAAAGTACTCTAATCCATAGAAAATTCCACAGAAATGCTTCTGCTTTTTGACAAATCTTTTCAATAATCAGAACTCTTTTCTCATTTGCAGCTTTGACATCGCTGGGACTGCAAGTACATAGATGGGAAGTGTGCCCTCTGCAGTTGCAATATCACCAAATGCAGCCTAGAAAAATATGGGTCGTAGTTTTGTATGGAATTGGAAATAGGATTTTAGAATTCAATTATGTTCTTGGAATCAATCCATCATATATTACATCTATTATTGGCATGAACACAATCTCTTCCAAGGCTGACAGACAAGAATGATTTTTAACAAATGTCTGGACATGAATTTCTAGATTTGTGCGTTCAGCAGGAGTTTGTAGGATCCTTGTCCAAATCATAAACCAATACCATCAAATTTATTCCACAATTCTGTTTCTCTATGCAATCTAATCTGCATGAGGATGTCATCTCCTATGGTGATGTAAACTAAAGGCACACAGAGTCTGAAACATAAGGGTTGACGTTATTTGACTTTAACCATGGCTTAATGTTTCAGATGCAGCCACACACTGAAGTGCTTAATGAAAGCTTCATGAAACTTTCCCCTCCTTAGGTTTTTTGTACTACGAGGACATCAATAATGCTGTAACAAGACCAGAGGCAGAAGCTGTAGCTCAAATTATAGAAACCATCGTTCATGGCTACACACCTGATGCCATTGTGACTTTAACAGGAGGTTTTAGAAGGTGAGTAAAATGGAGACATTTTAACAAGTCCCAAACATGTTATTTTTCTATGTGATTCTATTATGAACATTATTTCTAGCTAGAAATTGACCTGATAAAAGAAGAAATAGGGCAACGGAAAGCAGTGCAAAGTTATCTGAGCAATTTGATGGGCTGATGTTGTATCTGTTAGTTGTGAATCACAAATTTGTTGCTCAGATTGTACTAACTAGCTGCTTGCTATCAGTTCATATTGTTTTGAAATGATATTTGATTGTCACTTTAAGGACTGGGTATCTTGTTTTCATCTAATCATCAATTTTCAACATTCGGTTGTAAGACGCTTTATAAATGTGACATTTTCAAAGGCAACCAATAGCTGAACACTAGACACAGAGCTTTAATTATGTAGCAACGCTGGATTTTATATATTGTAAATATTTCTGTTTCAAATATTACTAACCATGGAAAACACAACCAGATTAGAAATCATTTGCTCTTGTATAATTTACAGCATATAACAAGATTACATTTCATATTGTGTAGGAGGAAAATATATTCACACTTTCATATAATGTCCCTGACACCAATTAAAATATATCCATATTCAAGTTTGTTAAAACTTCATGAAATAAAAATTCTGTTTATTTGTGTGATTGTGAGCCTATTTCGTGGGATTGTGTTAATATTTTGATACTTTTTTTGGACTTTGTTTTTTTGATGAACAAAGTTTGCCTGGGTTGTTGATGTAAGAAATCAGATTGAATCATTGAATTCTTCAATGTGAATAATGCAACACTTAAAACTCTGAGAAACTCAGTATTGAATATTACGTTACTAGTTTATATCACTGTAAATTATTGAAAAGATGTATGCCAACCAGCACAATTTTGATGCGGCATTGAACAGTGGCATTATATAAACTGACCAAGACATTATTATTTAAGATAACAAGGTGTAGAGCTGGATGAACACAGCAGGCCAAGCAGCATCATAGGAGCAGGAAGGCTGACGTTTCGGGCCTAGGCTTTCCTGCTCCTATGATGCTGCTTGGCCTGCTGTGTTCATCCAGCTCTACACCTTGTTATCTCAGATTCTCCAGCATCTGCAGTTCCTACTATCTCTGATACATTATTATTTAACGCATGTTACTGAATCTTTCATTATTAATCATAGGTAATACAATGGTATAACTCATAAGCAATGCAGTGAGAGAACCAATATTAAGCGAACATACTAGATACCCTGCCAGGAATGGTGGCTTGCCAAAGGGAATTATTAACTGACAGCATTAAGTTAAATAGCTTTGTTCTACCATTCTCTTGTGAGAGGAGTGAAGACCTATGCCATTTATGTATATTCAAGAACAGTCAGGAAACTCATTTCCCCATTTTGCCATTTTTAGCGTATCAGAATTATATGACAAGCTGAATAAAAGTTCCAACTTTATGTTTACTTTTGTGACTTACAAACCACATCCTGTTCCCTCCCCAGGGACAGTATGCCCACTCCTAGGCTTATTCCAGAAAAAAAAAATTCCTTTGGGAGAAGATGGGGCAAATAAAAACGAATGACTTATTCTAGGTCACAAAAACATTGTACGTAACATCAGTTGTTTAGTTACATTGGGTGGAATGTTTGCTTCCGTGGTGTGGCTTGAGCATTGGTGAACATATGACAAATAGGGCAAGAATGAAAAAAAAATTAGATTCTTAATGTTGAGAATGTTACTTTAATGGGACTTCAGGATCATGCCCTTGAGTGGCAATTTGCTTATTTCCATGCAGTTGCATCTCATTAAAACCCCAACACAACTTATTTGTATCCATAGAGTAGAGAAGATCATTGGTATTCTTCCTACACTGTTGAGCATTCCTCTGCATGGTTGAGTCTCCACTTACCATCAGTCTGGCAGTGTTTGGTATCTTGGCATCCTGTCCTGGTGGGGACAATGAGGCCTCCCTCCTCTGCACCACCCCTTCCACCAGGATCTCTAAGTCCCTGTCTACATTGTGGAGTGTCAATTTCCCCTTGTCTTCCATTTCGGGGGAAAATGTCTCCAATTGTGCAGGGCATCTCCAGACTGCCAGTACTTTACTAGGGGCAGAACAGCCTTTTAGACATAGCATTGGCACCAGGGATCCTGGGATATCTTGACAGTGATGAGTACTCCTGCCAATCATGAGTGGGAAAATCGGATGAGCCAAGTACAGTGTATTCATGTCCCTATACCTCCCATTGATTGTACATGTTTCTGAAAACACAGCAACTAATACTCATAGCAATGGGACGGACGTATTGCAGCCTGCTTGCAGTGGGAAACACAGCAGCTGGGATAAATCGATCACGAAAGGACCCACATCAATCTCCTTGATTCAGTCATAGAATCATAGCACCCCTACAGTGTTAAAAGATGCTATTGGGCCCATCAAGTCTGCATTGACCCTCTGATGAGCATCTCACCCAAATCTAGTCCTCAACCTTATAACTGTAACTATGCATTTCCCATGGCTAATTGACCTAGCCTGCACATCCCTGGACTCTATGGGCAATTTAGCATGGCCAATCCACCTAATGTGCAGATTTTTGGACTGTGGGAGGTAACTGAAGCACCTGGAGGAAACCCACGAAGACACAGGGAAACCAGTAAACTCCATGCAGACAGTCACCCAAGGCCGGAATTGTACACAGGTCCCTGGCATTGTGAGGCAGCAGTGCTAACCACTGAGTCACTGCACCACCAGTCAAAGAATGAAAGGGGCAGATGTGGGGTTCTCAGAGGCTGACAACAGGATTTAGTTTGTTAATGAGTCAATTAACGTCCGTTGGCCCAAAGTAATTCAGTTGTACCTCAGGGATTAAATGGAATATGGCTTGTTGGATTTACTGTCCTATTTCTAGGGATGTCCCTTATGATCAGGCAATTTGCTGAAAGTCACATCTGTGTACCCTTGCCTCCAACTCCCCCACCCCACCCACAAGCCACACTGTGCATTCTGTCTTCACTCACTTTCTGAAAGGCTCTTCCATTTTGCCTTCTCCGCAGAACTGAGGGGCTTCCTTGCTGTGCATTGAACAGTTGATGATGATATTCACATTGTTTCAGCAGAATCCTGGTCAATATCCTTAGAACCAGTTTGAAAAAGAAATGGATTTCACAGAGATAACATTCTGTTCCTGCAAATTTTTCAGTTTCAGCTGAACCTGTTTGAAAATTTTGCTAAATTGGATGTCAACGTTCTTTAAAAATTTATAGACATATTTTCTTCTTCCTGATAATAAAAAGGCTATTGATGCTGATTTCAGAATGTTGGATGTATACAGTTTTTCTGCAGACAATTTTAAGCAGTTCAACACGATTAGTGGATGTCAAAGTAAGCTGGTCATTCCAAACTAATGGTGTATGGCAGGAACAACAAACAGAGGCAGGTATGGCAGTTTCCGAAAGGCCTGTAGAACTACCAGGATCATTATTGTGTTTGCCAATATTTCAGAGAGTTGAGACCATTAGGGACATCTTATAGCACAGATTTCCAGCACTATCATTATTTCTGCATGATAGACAACTTTGCTCTTCAAAGACCTGGGGACAAGTTTAGTAGAGCCCACTGGAGCAGGCATGATGGTGGGTGCTAGGAAAATCTGGTGGGAATATCTGCACGTGATCCTGGGCAGCAGGAAAGCTGTACTGAATGTCAGCCAAGGCCCAATGTGGGAATCCCACATATTGATGGAAGACTGTCAGTTAATCATTCATTAATGACCACTTAAAGCCAATTATCCCTGAACCCACTGGCATTCAGTGAAGGCTTGGGGTTTTTTTTTGGGTCTCAAATGAGTCTGCTGTGCCTCCTGAAAGCTGTGCAGCAAACCCTGTAGAGTTTTCCCGTGGCCTCAATGTGGGGAATTCTCTCAATATCAGACATTCATTGCCCAATTGAGGGAGCCACCATGAGGAAGCTTTAAGATGCTGAAAAGAAACACTTAAGAACGTAAGAATTAGTATCTGGAGTAGGTCATTGAGACTCCTGAGCCAACTTGGCTATACTATACAATCATGGCTAGACTGATTGTGAATAAAACTCTACTTTCCAGCCTGCCCCTTTAACTCTTGACGCCCCTGTCGATCGAGAACTCTTCAAACTCAGCACTGAATGTGTTCAATGACTCAGCCTCCGCTGGTCTCTGGGGAGGAGAATTCAACAGACTAGTGACTCTAAAAGAAAAACAAAATCACCCTCATTTCTGCCTTTTTTCTTATTCACTTGTGGGTTGTGGGTGTTGCTGGCTGGCCAGCATTTATTGTCTGTCACTATTTATCCTAGAGAAGACGGCAGTGAGCTGCCTTCTTGAACTGCAGCAGCCCATGTGATGTAGGTTGACCCACAATGCCCTTAGGGAGGGAATTCTAGGATTTTGACCCAGTGACAGTGAAGGAATGGTGACATATTTCCAAGTCAGAATTGTGAGTGGCTTGGAGAGGAACTTGCAGATTCTGGTGTTTCTTCTGCCATTGTCCTTCGAGATGGAGGTGATTGTGGGTTTGGAAGGTGCTGTCTAAAGATCTTTGATGAATTTCTGCAGTGCACTTTATAGATTGTACACAATGCAGCTACTGAGTGTCAGTGGTGGAGTGAATGGATGCTTGTGAATGTGGTCAATGAGGGTCATGGTGGCAGAGTGGTTAGCACTGCTGCCTCATAGTGCTAGGGACCCAGGTGATTGTCTGTGTGGAGTCTGCACGTTCTCCCTGTGTCTGTTTGGGATTCCTCTGAGTTTTATGGAGTCCAAAGATGTGTAGGTTAGGTTGATTGGGAAATGCAAGGTTACAGGGATTGGGTAGGGGTATGGGTCTATGTGGGATGCTCTTTGGAGGGTCAGTATGGACTTGATGGACTGAATGGCATGCTTCCGCAGTGGAGGGATTCTATGATTCTAAGGTGCCGTTCAAGCAGGCTGACTTGTCCTGGACGGCGTCAAACTTCTTGAGTGTTGATGGAGGTGAACTCCTGCAGGCAAGT